AAATCATATCAAGTATCATTTTGGACCACAATGCTATGAGACTAGATATCAATTACAGGAAAAAATTAGTAAAAAATACAAACACATGGAGGCTAAACAATACACTACTAAATAACCAAGAGATCACTGAAGACATCAAAGAGGAAATCAAAAAATACCTAGAAACAAATGACAATGAAAACACGACAACCCAAAACCTATGGGATGCTGCAAAAGCAGTTCCAAGAGTGAAGTTAATAGCAATACAATCCTATCTCAATAAACAGGAAACATCTCAAATAAACAACCTAACCTTACACTGAAAGCAATTAAAGAAATAAGACCACCACCAACAACAAAAAAAAAACCCAAAGTTAGCAGAAGGAAATAAATCATAAGGATCAGATCCAAAATAGATGAAAAAGAAATGAAGGGAACAATAGCAAAGATCAAGAAAACTAAAAGCTGCTTCTTTGAGAAGATAAACAATATTGATAAACCATTAGCCAGACTCATCAAGAAAAAAAGGGAAAAGACTCAAAATCAACAGAATTTTAATTAAAAAAGAGAACTAACAACTGACATTGAAGAAATACAAAGGATTATGAGAGATTACTACGAGCAACTATATGCCAATAAAATGGACAACCTGGAAGAAATTGACGAATTCTTAGAAAAGCACAACCTTCTGAAACTGAACCAGGAAGAAAAAGAAAATATAAACAGACCAATCACAAGCACTGAAATGGAAACTGTGATTAAATATCTTCCAACAAAAGTCCAGCAACAGATCATTTCACAGGTGAATTCTGTCAAACATTTAGAGAAGAGCTAACACCTATCCTTCTCAAACTCTTCCAAAATATAGCAGAGAGAGGAATACTCCCAAACTCATTCTACAAGGCCACCATCACCCTGAATCAAAAACCACACAAATATGTCACAAAAAAGAAAACTACAGGACAATATCTCTGTTGAACATAAATGCAAAAATCCTCAACAAAATACTAGCAGACAGAATTCAACAGCACATTAAAAGGATCATACACCATGATCAAGTAGGGTTTATTCCAGGAATGCAAGGATTCTTCAATATATGCAAATCAATCAATGTGATACACTATATTAACAAATTGAAGGAGCAAAACCATATGATCATCTCAATAGATGCAGAAAAAGCTTTTGACAAAATTCAACACCCATTTCTGATAAAAACCCTCCAGAAAGTGGGCATAGAGGGAACTTACCTCAACATAATAAAGGCCATACATGACAAACCCACAGCCAACATCATTCTCAATGGTGAAAAACTGAACCATTTCCTCTAATATAAGGAACAAGACAAGGTTGCCCATTCTCACCACTATTATTCAACATAGTTTTGGAAGTTTTAGGCATAGCAATCAGAGAAGAAAAAGAAATAAAAGGAATCCAAATCAGAAAAGAAGAAGTAAAACTGTCACTGTTTGCAGATACATGATACTATGCATAGAGGAACCTAAAGATGCTACCAGCAAACTACTAGAGCTAATCAATGAATTCGTTAAATTAGCAGGATACAAAATTAATGCACAGAAATCTCTTGCATTCCTATACACTAATGATAAAAAGTGTGAAAGAGAAATTAAGGAACTAATCCCATTTACCATCGCAACAAAAAGAATAAAATACCTAGGCATAAACCTACCTGAGGAGACAGAAGACCTGTATGCAGAAAACTATAAGACACTGATGAAAGAAATTAAAGATGATACAAACAGATGGAGAGATATACCATGCTCTTGGATTGGAAGAATCAACATTGTGAAAATGACTATCCTACCCAAAGCAATCTACAGATTCAATGCAATCCCCATCAAACTACCAATGGCATTTTTCACAGAACTAGAACTAAAAATTTCACAATTTGTATGTAAACACAAAAGACCCCGAATAGCCAAAGCAATCTTGAGAAAGAAAAATGGAGCTGGAGGAATCAGGCTCCTAGACTTCAGACTCTACTACAAAGCTACAGTAATCAAGACAGTATGGTACTGGCACAAAAACAGAAATATAGATCAATGGAACAGGATAGAAAGCCCAGAGATAAACCATGCACATATGGTCACCTTTTTTTGATAAAGGAGGCAAGAATATACAATGGAGAAAAGACAGCCTCTTCAATAAGTGGTGCTGGGAAACCTGGACAGCTACATGTAAAAGAATGAAATTAGAACACTCCTTAACACCACACACAAAAATAAACTCAAAATGGATTAAAGACCTAAACATAAGACCAGACACTATCAAACTCTTAGAGGAAAGCATAGGCAGAACACTCTATGACATAAATCACGGCAAGATCCTTTTTGACCCACCTCCTAGAGAAATGGAAATAAAAACAAAAATAAACAAATGGGACCTAATGAAACTTAAAAGCTTTTGCACAGCAAAGGAAGCCATAAACAAGATGAAAAGACAACCCTCAGAATGGGAGAAAATATTTGCAAATGAAGCAACTGACAAAGGCTTAATCTCCCATATTTATAAGCAGCTCATGCAGCTCAATATCAAAAAAAGAAACAACCCAATCCAAAACTGGGCAGAAGACCTAAATAGACATTTCTCCAAAGAAGATATACAGATTGCCAACAAACACATGAAAGAATCCTCACCATCACTAATCATTAGAGAAATGCAACTCAAAACTACAATGAGGTATCACCTCACACCAGTCAGCATGGCCATCATCAAAAAATCTACACACTATAAATGCTGGAGAGGGTATGGAGTAAAGGGAACCCTGTTGCACTGTTGGTGGGAATGTAAGTTGATGCAGCCACTATGGAGAACAGTATGGAGGTTCCTTAAAAAACTAAAAATAGAACTACCATATAACCCAGCAATCCCACTACTGGGCATATATCCTAAGAAAACCATAATTCAAAAAGAGTCATGTACCACAATGTTCATTGCAGCTCTATTTACAATAGCCAGGACATGGAAGCAACCTAAGTGTCCATCAACAGATGAATGGATAAAGAAGATGTGGCACATATATAAATGGAATATTACTCAGCCATAAAAAGAAATGAAATTCAGTTATTTGTAGTGAGACCTAGAGTCTGTCATACAGAGTGAAGTAAGTCAGAAGAAGAAAAACAAATATTATATGCTAACACATATATATGGAATCTAAAAAAAAGAAAAAGTGCCTCTGAAGAACCTAGGGACAGGACAGGAATAAGGACACAGATGTAGAGAATGGACTTGAGGACATGGGCAGTGGGAAGTGTAAGCTGGGACGAAGTGAGAGAGTGACATGGACATATATATACTACCAAATGTGAAAAAGATAGCTAGTGGAAGCAGCCGCATAGCACAGGGAGATCAGCTCAGTGCTTTGTGACCACCTAGAGGGGTGGGATAGGGAGGGTGGGAGGGAGATGCAAGAAGGAGGAGATATGGGGATATATGTATATGTATAGCTGATTCACTTTGTTATAAAGCAGAAACTAACACACCATTGTAAAGCAATTATACTCCAATAAAGATGTTAAAAAAAAAAAAAGAAAACAGTATGGTACTGGCATAGAAACATAGACCAATGGAAGAGAATCAAGAGCCCAGGAATAAACCCATGCATACATGGTTAACTAATATTTGATAAGGGAACCAATAAGAGTCAATGCGGAAAGGATAGTTTCTTCAATAAATGGTGTTAGGAAAACTGTATAACCACATGTAAGAGAATGAAACTGGAACCCAGTCTTACACCACTCACAGAAATTAACTCAAAGTAGATTAAGTACTTAAACATTAGACCTAAAACTATAAACTCCTACAAGAAAACATGTGGCGAAAGCTCCTTGACATTGGTCTTAGTACACAAGCAACAAAATCAACAACTCGGACTAATTCAAACAGAAAACTTCTGAACAACAAAAGAAACAGAATGAAAAGGCACCTATGGAATCAGAGTAAATATTTGCAAACCATCCATCTGATAAGGGGTTAATATCCAAAAATTATAAAGAACTCATGCCACTCAATAAAAAATCTAATTAAAAATGGGCAGAGGGCTTGAATAGACATTTTTCAAAAGAAGACATACAAATGGCCAACAAGTACAAGAAACGGTGCTCAACATCACTAATCATCAAGGAAATGCAACTCATAACCACAATGAAATATCACCTCACACCTGTTAGAATCAAGAAAAACAAGATATAACGAGTGCTGGGGAGGGTGTGGAGAAAAGGGAACCCTTGGGCACTGTTGGTGGGAATGTAAATTGGTGTAGCCACTGTGGAAAACAGTATGGAGTTTCCTCAAAAAATTAAGAATAGCTACCATATGATCAGCTATCTCAATAAAGCTGAAATTAAAAAAGAAAAAAGAATTACTTGGGCAAACAACAAATTCTCCCTTTGAGGAGACAAAAAAAAATTCTGATGGAAGAGCATAGAGGTAGGAAAAAACCTACTTGGAAATGAGAAAAGTACTTACTAAGATTAGAGAAAATAGTGGGAAGCCCATGGCAAGGAAAGAGTCTCTAAAATGACTGGTGATTGGGGAAGGGGAAGGAAGAAAAGGAGAGCAAGGCTGTTCCTAAGAGGGAGTCGTGGTGGAAGCTCATTAAGAGAGCCGAGCCAGCTACATAATTGAAACCAGAACTGGTTGGGATAAAAGTAGAGGTTTAAAAAGTGAGATCATAAAACCAATCCCAAGTAGGCACAGTGTTTATACATAGAGATGGAATGTGTCCTAAGAGACTTCAGAGGTCTCTTGCCTGTTTTCTAAGCAGGACTTGAGCTATAATGCCCAGAAGGGAGACTTCAGGGTAACAAGTAAGCACATTCCCATTTCACAGTCCTCTTAGATGGGAAACTCCTGTGTGCTTTATATATGGGAAGCTTTCTTTTAAAATGCAACAATGTAAATGAAATTAGGATGAAAAGCAGCTATTAAAGCTCCTGCAATAGAAACATTAAGTTCTACTTGATTAGGGAGTTTGTTTAAATAATGTAATTTGTACTTACCTTAAAAACACATGGGGCTTCCCTGGTGGCGCAGTGGTTGAGAGTCCACCTGCCGATGCAGAGGACAAGGGTTCGTGCCCCGGTCCGGGAGGATCCCACATGCCGCAGAGCGGCTAGGCCTGTAAGCCATGGCCGCTGGCCCTGCGCGTCCAGAGCCTGTGCTCCGCAACAGGAGAGGCCACAGCAGTGAGAGGCCCGCGTACCACAAAAAACAAACAAACAAACAAACAAAAACACATGAAGCAATATGGTCCCTTCATGGACTTACAGGCCTGTTATCTGTTCACAAACTGAACTAAAACTAGATATTCACCATATTGGTAAATATTTCTTTCTTCTTATTCCCTTGAAACTCTTCACCTGCTGAGCAGAGTCCGTTACTCATTTTAAACAATACTTATTGCCAATATCCTAAATGTAATATTATTTAAAAATGAAAAGAGGCAGTAATTAAAACAATGGTTATAAAATAAAATTGAATTATTATTTTCACTTATTTTCTTAACTGAATTTTAAGAATATAAAATGGAGTAGTCTAGGTAAATTTTGTATATTGATTTCTAAAAATATTTTCTTACCAATGTATGCTTCTCAGTTTTAAGTTTCAGCGTCCTTTTCTCTATAGTAACTGGGGAATTAGCATAGTCAATTTACGTATTGCAATATGAATTTTGAAAATGATCACCATAATTAGGTCAGAAATCCTGGCTTTGTGATTTGCTCACCAGAAATTAATTCTAAGACCACTTCCTCTCTATATGACCTTGCACAAGCCACTTCTCTGTTTTATCACTTTTAAAATGAGAATAAAAATATCATTTTTACCTACCCACAGAATTTGCGGAAGCAGAACTGAGAGAATATTTGTGAAACTGGACTATAAACTGTCAAGTACTTGTGAGCTCCAGGGTTTCAGTTTAGGTAAAGCTGCTTCTAAGAGCTTGCGATCTCCAGTTCTTTTCCTTGCTCAGTCCTGTTCCAATAATGCCAGGCTCCCTTTTGCCTTCTGGGTTCTTACATTTTATCTCCCTCAACTCTGTGTGAAAAATGGGGATTCTATTATCTACCTTTTGGAATTAGTATAAAGACAACCTGGAAAGTCCCTCGTGCAGTGCTTAGCACATGGTAGACTCAAGAAACTCAACTAGAGATGGCCAGGAGCCTCAGAGACCATGTAATCCACTTACCTCTTTTGCACTTACCTCTTTTTGCATTCACTTCTGGAAAGTGAAGTCCAGAGAAGTAAGGAAATTGCCCAGAGTTATACATTGAGCTGTGGATTTAGATTCGATCCCAGGTCTCTGGAGTCTCAGAGCTCTTTCCACAGCAGAAAGCACCTGCAGACTGTGGCAGCGTAAAAACAAATGCATGACAAGGGGCAATCATCAAGGAACATATCCTACTGGAGTCTTCCAGTGAAACTAGTATGATAAATTAGAGAGGTGGGGGAGAAGAAGAGACATAAAATAATCTCCTTTACCCATGTATTCAGTGATATATTATAGGTCCCCTCCTGCCCAAGTCTTTTAATTAAGGGTTTTATTTTTTGGTAAAATATATTCTGATACATTCGCATAACAGAAAAGTATGCAACCACCAAAAAGAATGAGGTAGAACTGAATGGGAAAAATATTTACAAATGATATGACCAACAAGGGGTTAATATCCAAAATATATAAACAGCTCATACAACCCAACATCAAAGAAACAAACAACCCAATTAAAGGATGGGCAGAAGACCTGAATCGACATTTTTCCAAAGAAGACATGCAGATGACCAACAGGCACAAGTAAAGATGCTCAACATTGTAAATCATCAGAGAAATGCAAATCAAAACCACAATGAGGGCTTCCCTCGTGGCGCAGTGGTTGAGAGTCCGCCTGCCGATGCAGGCGTGCCCCGGTCCGGGAAGATCCCACATGCTGCGGAGCGGCTAGGCCCGTCAGCCATGGCCGCTGAGCCTGCGTATCTGGAGCCTGTGCTCCGCAACGGGAGAGGCCACAACAGTATAGGCCCATGTACCGCAAAAAAAAAAACCACAATGAGGTATCACAAATAAAAATGTTGGCGAGAATGTGGACAAAAGGGAACCCTTGTACACTGTTGGTGGGCATATAAATTGATTCAGCCACTGTGGAATGGAGGTTCCTCAAAATACTAAAAATTGAACTACAACATTATCCAATAATTCCACTCCTGTATATATATCTGAAGAAAATGAAGACATTAATTTGAAAAGATACATGCACCCCAACGTTTATGGCAGCATTGTTTACAACAGCCAAGATATGGAAGCAACCTAAGCGTCCCTTAGCAGATGAATGGATAAAGAAGATGCAGTATATATAGCCAATAGAATACTACTCAGCCATAAAAAAAGAATGAAATTTTGTCATTTGCAACAATATGGGTAGACTTGGAGGGTATTATGCTTAATGAGATAAGTCAGACAGATACGAGTACTACATGATATCACTTATATGTGGAATCTAAAAAATAAAACAAGCTACTGAATATAACAAAAAAGAAACACATTTACAGATATAGAGAACAAACTAGTGGTTACCAGTGGGGAGAAAGAAGGAGGGAGAGGCAAGACAGGAATAAGGGATTAAGAGGCACAAACTACTAAAAACAACATAAATAAGCCTCAAGTATATATTGTACAGCACAGGGAATATAGGCAATGCCTTATTATAACTATAAATGGAGTGTAACCTTTAAAAATTATGAATATCTATGTTGTACACCTGAAACTTATGAAATATTATACATCAACTATACCTCAATAAAAAAAGAAAAAGAAAGAAAAAAGAGCTAGATCAACAAGCACTAGCATAGAAAGCTGTGCCTAATATATTTAGGGAAAAAAGAAAACAGCTGCATAGTATCCACAATCCTGGTCCTATTTTTGTTTTATGTGTATATAAACATGGTAATAAGTCTGGAAGGACATCTTCCAGACCATTAGTAGTGGTTATCCTTCCACATTTTAAAGACTTTTCCCCTTTTATTTTATCTCTGTATTGTTTAAATTCTCAGGAGTATCTATGATTTTGATCATTAGGGAAAAATAAAGCTTTTATTTAAAATTTTAAAATGCTATTGAAACAAATTAATGATTAATTGCATAAAAGTTCAATTATCCATATTTACACTAAACCAGAATGGAAATGAAATTAAAAAGTACAATGAAAGATTAGAGCTTTAAGAAAAATAGAAATATTCAGCCCCTTCCTTTCTTAAAGATGATTGCTATCTAATAGCATTTCCTTTATATGAGAGAAAATTAAACAACAGACGAAGCACATTTAATACTTCTAGTGGAACATCTTTTCCCCATATCTCTGATTTAACAAAAAAAAAGCAAAGCAGGCTATCTTGGAAGCAGATATGAAAACTCTCTCTGGCCCCAGATCTAAAAAGGAAATAAACCCAAATTATGCCCCACAGCACATGCACAGCTGCCCCGCAGTGTTTTCATCTACTGTTATTCTGTGTCTTAGTGCTAAGGCTCTTTAGCTCGTCTGGAAATCCCTTGAAATGGTCGTCCAAAGAGTGTACATAAGTGCATGCATACATTTTTCTGTGGAGAAGGACTGTAACCTTCACCAGTTTTGCAAAGTAATCTTTTTACATTTTTTTCACACCCACAAATATTAACCACAACATTTATCTATTCATACATATCCAAATATTCAACAGACATTGAGAGTTTTCCCTTCCATTTATTGTTATACATGTAGTAGGAATGTTATTACCCAAATTACATGGCTCATTTCTTACTCTCACAACAATACTGTAAGTAAAGATTATCCCTGTTTTCCCAGTGAGGAATATGGAGACTAAAAGGTGATCACATTTTTTTATATTCCTGCCATTGAGAGTTGGGGGTCTATGCCCCTTCCCCTTGAATCTAGATGGGCACTCTGACTATGTTGACTAATTGAATATGATGGAAATGATACTGTGTCTTAAGAGGAAAGCAGCTTCCATTTCTTGTCCTTTGGAATCATAGTCCTTATAAAGCCAGCCACCATGTTGTGAGGAAGCCAATGCCGCTCCATAGGGAAGCCCACGTGGAGAGGAACTGAGCTCCCAGTTGACGCTCAGCACCAACCTGCCGGCCACATGAGTGAGCTGTCATGAAGTGGACCCTCCAGACCCAGTCCATCTGCCCCAGCTAATGCTGTGTGGAGCAGAGATGGGCCATCATCTCCATTGAGCCTATAGTAAGCAGAATGATGGAGAAGTATTTACTTCCTAATGTTCAGAACTTATGAGTATGTTGTCTTACGTGGCAAAGAGGAATTAAGGTTGCAGATGGAATTCAGATTTCTAATCAGCTGACCTTAAACTAGAGAGATTCATCCTGGATTTTTTTAGGTGGTCCAGTGTAATCACAAGGATCCTTGAAAGAGAGAAGCAGAGAAGGTCAGAGTGATTCACTGGGAGAATGACTTGACCTGCTGTTGCTGGCTTTGAAGATGGAGGAAGGGTCTTGAGCCAAGGAGGGCAGGCGGTCTCTAGAAGCTGGAAAAGGCAAAGAAACGGATTCCCTCTTAGGGATTCCAGAAGGGAATACAGCCCTGCAACACTTGATCTTACCCTAGTGAGAACTGTGTTGCATCTAACCTCCAGAACTGTGAGATAGTAAATTTGTGTTGTTTTAAGCCATCAAATGTGTGATAACTTGTTATAGCAGACATAGAAAACTAATACAGACCCCCTCCCAAACTGCACCTTTGTGAACAAAATAATGTTTAAATCTAAACATATAATTTCTTTAAAATGATGACTATTTTAACAGTTAATAGTGCATAAGAGAGCAACTAAAGACTCTTTAGTAGGCTATTGAACATTTTTATGGATGCCCAGGCATTTTTTTTTAACCTGTTTGAAGATGGTTTATAGATTTAATTTTCTATGTTTAAGTATCTTTTTTCAATGTGGCCGTAAATGCCCTTTTAAATTAGTGACAGTGAAAATAGTTATCCTGGAGATAATTATATCTAGTGATTAGGTTTTACAATAAAGCTATTTTAA